GTAGTCTCTTGAATCTCTAATGAGCCAAAAAAATCCGTAATAGATTTTTGTTTCTTTGCTTCGGCATTTTTTTTCTCTATTAGAGGCAAGTATTTTTGAAATACCTTTAAATCATCAGCATTAAAATCACTACTCATCTGCTGTTCAAAAAACATGATAAAATTTTTTTAATCCAAGTAATGCGTTTGAAGGTAGAATATTGCATAATTCCTCATCACTGTTGTCAGGATCACCTTGCTCATCTTCTAATTGTTCTGCCAGTACAATTTCAACAATTTGAGCATCATTGAGAGGTTCTTCAGTAGGTATATTTGCATTGGTGATCGTTACATAGCGTTGTATTTCTTGTATAATAGTTGGATTTGTTTCTTTGCTTGTGAAATCACTTAGTAGTTCACCAATTTGACATTCCTCTTGCCTGGATGATTCCTGGTGTATATTCTCATCAAACTCAACCTTATCATTAGACACTAATGGCAAAATGCCCGTCTTTTTCCAGCAATTCATGATTGTCAATTCTGTCACCTCGTCCCACGATTCTGCCACGTAATTAATAGCCTCTTTGATATTGATCTTATTTCTAAATAGAAATAATAAATTTTATTAGTCGATGAATAAATTATAGTCAATAAATAGCTCTCATGTTTATGACATGGCATTTCCATAATAAAGCATAAAATACATATAGAAAGATCAACATGCTGAAAATATGAAATGCGTACTGAAATAGTCATAAAATAACAACGAAATATGCATACGAACTGTGCTTCGCGTACCAAAATACGTGACTGAAATAGTGAAGTGAATATGCATACCACGATATGCAACGATGAAATATGTGTACCGAAATATGTAATCGAAATAACAAATCAAAATATGTGCATGACAATGAAATATGTGTAGTTAAATACAAAATTCATAACAAAGTCACAACGAAATATGGGGAATTAAATAGAACAATAAAATACTGCTTACTTTTGGATATCCTCTCCGTTTTCAAATTGATTCAATATACGTCGAATATATTTTTCTTGATATTTTGCCTTGAAACTTTTAATAATACCCGCATCCATCAGTTGAAGATGTGCCGTAGTATTGGGAGGCAAAAATTCAACCTTGATATTTGTTAGGCGTTGGTTGGACAGATCAGGAATTCTATATACACTTCCTCGATTTGTACCACGCTTGCCTTTGCTATCCCGTAGGATGGCACGATGATTATGTTGTTGATTAACTTGGATGGTATTGCTTGATCTTGGGTGGCCGCGATCACGTTTATCTCGATGATTATTTATTATCCCCACAGTGGATGATTCCTCTTAATCACTGTTACTAGACTTTTCATCTTCTTCCTGTGAGTCTTGAGAATTGGGTATATTATTATTTGGATTATAATGACTTGTCGCATTGTCAACTAAAAGCAGAATTTGGTGACTTTCACAACGAAATTTATCATCAAGTTTTTTTAACTATTCTCCAAAAATATCACCCCACATCCATGCTTTTGCATTGGCACGATATATAACAGGTAATGTGTTATGATTAATGTGAGATAATGCTCATGGTTTAATTGAGGACCCAATAACAAGTGGCTGGAGTTTTTCAATGCCGATGGCATTAGAAGCCAACATGACTGTAATACGTATGCGATCCTAACAATATTAAAATTTAAAAAAAAAAAAAAAAACAATGAGAATACAAAATGATTTATTATTTTTATTGCTTACCTTTTTCCAACCAGAGCGAGATTGAGATGCCAAAGTTTGATTTGGCGCCATACGAAAAAACAAACCAGTTTCATCTGCATTGAATACATTATCCAATGGATATTCTTGAATAATATCTCGCAACCTTTGTCTTGATTCAGGAAGCAATTCCATAGGTGCACTTTTGGCTTCTCCATGTATTCGAAAATTTCGCAAGTTGTTACGCTTCTTAAATTTAAGTATCCACCTATTGGATAATTTGAGAGCATCATTAGGCAAAGAAAGAGCCTGAATAAAATAAGAAGCTTTTTCTTTGATCATTGTTTTGGTTAAAAACATTTCACCCTGAATAACTTGCTCAATCCATAATTGCATAGATTTATCCAACAAAGGATATTTTACTTTCCTGTGTCGGAAAATCTCAGCAACAGCTTGATTTTCAACCACAGCCAACCATCTGTCTTTGTTTTTTAAAATTTTAGACACAGTTGAACGGTCAAGATTTATTTTTACATCTTGATTATTAAAATATTCAGCAATTTGCTGGTGTGTTTGATTTGGATTTGTCAAAGAATATTGACAAATCGTATTTTTGAAGCTATCACTAATTGCTGTGCGTGCTCTTTTAATCAGAGGTTGAATTGACATAATAGTAAAGAAAATTTTTTTGACGAATAATCAATAAATAATACTGAATTACTATATATAGAAAAAAATTTTAACAATCATTTTAATACTAGTAATTTTTATTCTGTTAGTTATAATTTATATTATACGTATATATCATGTGACTTTGTGATTATATAGAGGGATAAATACTAATTAAAAATTTTTTTCTATTGCTCTAAAGTGTAATAGTGATTATAAGGCAATTGTGACTATATAGGAGTATTTTAATTAATAAAAAATTGGGTCCACAAAATTATGTGATTATATAGAATTTGTGATTATATGGGAGGTGATTATATAGGAGGATGACTGTACTTTGTAATAGTTAGATATTATACTTTTTCTATTTCATCTTATTTATTTATTTATATATGACCCTTCTCTTTTCACTTATTATAATGTCATTTCCATGATTTACTTCTATAAACTATTCCAGACTTATAATAATTATAATTCTAATTTTAAACTTTAAACTTATTAGGTCTACTTATGATTAAGTTCCTGATTAGATGTGGTATGCAAAAAATTACATTTGTAGCCTAATCAACTTAACTTTTAACCCTAACAATGCCGATCCAATAGGCATTAAGATTGTGATCTTCAGAAAAGGTATTGTGGTATGATGATTATTCAGTTGATATTACAATGATCACTAGAAGCGAGAAAAATAAAAAGGTATAAAAGGCATTTGATTTAAAAAAAAGATGGCTTAGTAATTGTTTTTCTGTGGTACCTGATATCTCTTTTTAAAAATATGCCTCTTTCTGAAAAGATTTTAATAATCCAGTTTGGATTAGAGAAGGTTTCTCTTTATAGAAGTTCTATTCATTATAATAGGTACTACCTTCCAGTTCTCCCTTCACTTTCTCTTAATATATCCATAGTTAGAAATAGAACTTAAGTATATAATATATCAAAAACTAATATATAAGCTAATAGAACTTTGGCATGTTAGCTTACATCTCTATTCTCAGATAAGCTGACAGCAACAAGTCGATATATAAGTTATTTAGATATAGTTTTATTCATATATAGTAAACTATGTACAATATATTACATGATATGTATAAAGTATCAAATCATTAATAAAGCAAGGCCTAGCTAGTATTAAAATAATTATAAGAAAAATATATATTTAAAGATTGTCTTTTTTCTTTAATTAATATTAAAATTGTTTGCTTTATTTTTATATTAATAAAGTTTTTTTTTAATAATAATAAATAATTGATAATTATAATATTAATTTTTTAAACTATTATACTTATAATAGTTCTGTAATTTAATAATAAACAATATTAATTTGATTATAAGTATAAAAAAAAATTAAATTAAATTCAAATAATAATAATTTTTTTAATAAATTATTTTATTAATTATAAAAAATTTTAAGATTAAAAGATAAAAAAATTTAAATAATATTTAATTTAAATTTATATTAATTAATTATAATATAATATATTATATATTTTATAATTAATTAATTAACTTGAAATTTTTTAAACCTGTAATTAAATTGGAATTGTTTATTTATTAAATTATAAAATTATTACAAGTATAAAAATATAATCTTTTTAATTTAGCTTACCTGTTAATAGCTAGAATTTCTAAATATAATTTATAAAATAATATATTTTTTATTAATAAATAGAATCAAGATTCAAAACTTTCAATAAAATTAAAATCTATAGATTATTTTTACAGTTATAATTATAAATCCAAATTGTATTAATTTTCTTTTACAAAAATTATATAAAAAAAGGAATAAAAATTATAGAAAAAAAAAATAACATAGTATATACAAAAATAAAAGATACTACTAATAAAAGAAAAAAATCTGTTATATATATAGCTATTATTGAAAAGGTTTTTTTCAATAAACAAAATCCAAGCTCTTTATAATTGATAATATATTTACTTCTTATTATTTGTAATTAATTAGACTGTTTAATTTTAATTAAAGCAATAATATTCAAGAATATTTAAATATATTTTTAGAAAAGTATTTTTTAAAACTTTATATTTAAAGATTTTTAATAAAAAAAATATTGGTTTTTTATTATTGATTTTTTTTTATTTTTCAAAATTATATTGTATTGCTTTATCTAATCAGTAAATAGTTTTTTATTTCTTTAATTTTTTTAAGATAAATATTATTATTTTAACTTGTTATCAAATTTGAATAAATTTTAAATCTTGTAAATATTTTTTATTTATTAAAAAAAATAAATAAAAAATAAAAAATTTATTATTTCTTTTTACTCACAATTTCAACCTTATCTATAAAAACTATTTAATTTTTTTAAAAACTAATTATATTATTAAATTGATATTGCATAACTAAAGATATATAGAATAATGTTTTTGTTTACTTTTTCTATAGTTAATATAATTAATTAATTTGTAATTTTGATTAATTATCTTTCAGGAAATCTAATATAACCAAAACTTTAAATTAAATTGAAATAGAAAAAAATTTCAGAAAAATTAAAAAAAAAAAGCTTAAAAAAAATAAAAAGTTTAATAGATAATAGAAATATTAAAAACTTTTTATTTTTATTTCTTTAAAATTTTGAACTTTTTAAAAGTCTTAGAATATATTTTTTCTTATTAATTTTCTTTTTAAAAAAGTTTTTTGTTATAGATCTCTTATATAAATTTCTTATATTTAATTATAAAAATAAATAAAAAAAGTATTTTGAAAAAAAAAAGTAAACAAGTAATAGTTACTATTTATTCTGTTAATTAAAATTCAATATTTTTAAAAAAAATATATAGACTTTATTGTTATAAAAATATAAAATTTTTAATAATATTTGTTTTTAAATTAATAAAAAATTAATAAATATACTCTTTAACAAAAATGAATTAGCAAGTTAAGTAGTTTAAAAATTAGTAACAAGATTTTTACTCTTTGAATTAATTTTATTTAATAAGTGAGTCTATTTACAAAGTGTAAATTTATATAGCTAATATGGACAAGGAACTAATATAGAATATAATTACATAAATATATTTCAGTACATCATATATCTTAATTTTTAATAATAAAGTTTATAATTTATAATGATATATAAAACTATAATATAATTTTAAAAAACTTAAATTAGTTATAATTTTAAATAGTTTATTAATTACAAATAGATTATTATAGCTTAATAAGAATTATATAATACAATAATAACTTAGTAAAGATATATTGTACTAATATAAAAAAGTAACAATAAAAAGTAATAGAAATAGTAATGATAGTAATAATAAAAAGTAGAAAGAAGAACAATAGATAGATAATAAAAACAATAATAAAACAAAACTATTCTTTAATTAAAAACTTTTTAATTAGGACATATAATTAATATTATCTAATTAAATAAATTTTAATTAACTTATCTAATTCAGTATTTTCCATAAGAAAGGAATATTTAGAACTATAAGAGAAAGTGAAAAAACTGGTTAAGGAAGTGAATATTGGAAAGAAAAGAAAAAAATTAGTAGAATTCAACTAAACAAATCATATACCTCAAGTAAAGAAGTCAAACCTTATCTGATATTATATGAGGATTGCTTCAGAGAAGTAACAGATTTATCAAAAAAAATATCAATACTGGGTTAGATACAATAGGTTATAATTAATTTACTTATATAAAAAATTATTAAATATTAATTATAAATTTTTATTTAATAAAATCATATATTTAATATTCATTTGTAAAAAAAAAAATTAATGTTTTGAGATATTAATAAAATTCTTAAAAATTTTATAAATATAAAATTTTTTTTAGATTTAATTAAATTAAAAATCTTAAAATACTATAAATATTAAAATATAAGAAATCAATATTTTATTTTATTTTTTTATTTTTTTTTTTAAACCCGCGGCCAAGCCAAATTCGCTATACTTTATTAAATTTAGACTCTGAATACATTTTACTGCA